AACCATACCAAATATAAATTTCCTGGCCACAGTACAATGAAATTGAAATCAATACAGAAGGAACTTTGGAAACTGTTAAAATACATGAAAATTAAACAACATGCTTATAAATAGCCAATAATTATCTAAGAAGAAATTTTAAAGAAAATTTAAAAATTCCTTGAGACAAATGAAAATGAAACTACAACGTACCAAAGCCTATGGAATATAGCAAAAGCAGTCCTACAAGGGAATTTTATAGCAACAAATATCTAAATCAAAAAGGTAGAAAGATCTCAAACAACCTAACATTATACCTCAAGGAATTAGAAAACTAAGAAGAATCTAAACTTAAAATAAGTAGAAGAAAAGAAATAATAAACATCAGAGAATAGACACTAAAAAAACAAAAACAACCAAAAGATCAATGAAATAAAGAGCTGGTTTTCTTTAAAGATAAACAAAATCAACAAACCTTTAGCTATACTAAGAAGAAAAAGAAAAAATTCAAGGATGAAATAGGAGACTATTCATGTTTCTGATACTACAGAAACATAAAGAAGTGTAAGAGACTATTATGCACAATTTATATACCAATAAATTGGTAAGCCTAGAAGAAATAAATCTTGGACACATAGTATTTGTCAAGATTGAATCATGAAATAGAAAATTTTAAAAGACCAATAATGGATAATGAGATCAAAAATATAGTACAAAGTCTTCTAGTAAGCCCAGAACATGATGGCTTTACAGCTGACTTCTATCAAACATTTAAAGAAAAAATAATACTAATTCTATGCAAACTATTTTCAAAAAATGAAGGAGCAGGACTACTTCCAAACTCATTCTATGAGGCCAGCATTACCCTGATATAAAAACCAGACAAAGACACACACACAGAAAACTAAAGGCCAATATCCCTGATGAGCACAAATGTAAAAATCTTCAACAAAATACTAACAAACTGAATTCAACAACACATTAAAAAGATCATTCTCTATGATCAAGTGAGATTCATCCCAGGGATGCAAGGATGGTTCAGCATACACAAATCAATAAACATGGTATATCATATTAATGGAATCAAGGTAAAACCCCATTATGATTTCAATAGATGCTGAAAAAATCATTTGGTAAGGTCTTTCTCCACTCACTCCTCTCTCTCTGGAATGTGTTTTCACTTTGTGTCATTCTGTATAGTTTCCTTCTGCACTTTCACTTTGTATAGCTTCTTTCTTTTTTCCATAGGTATGGGGGGAAAATGATTGCTTTATGCTAAAACCCCTCAACACACTGGGAAGAACAGAAGGAAAACACCTCAACATAATAAAGGCTCACTGCTAACTTCACACTGAATAAAGGTGAAAGCTCTTCCTCTAAGATCTGGAACAAGACAAGAATGCCCATTTTCATCACTTTTTTCCAACATAGCCCTGGAAGTTACAGCCAGAGCAATTAGGCAAGAGGAAGAAATAGAGGCAGCCAAATTAGAAAGAAGAAATTCAAATTGTCCCTGTTTACAAATAACATGATCATATATATAGAAGGCCCTAGAGATTCCACCAAAAAACTGTCAGAACTACTAAGTGAATTTAGTAAAGTTGCAGATACACAATCAAAATACAAAAATCAATGTTTCTATATGAATGGCAAACTCTGTGGAAAAAAATCAAGAAAGCAATTCCATTTACAATAGCTACCAAAAAAATTAAATGCCTAGAAATAAACTTAACCAAGGTGGTAAAAGATCTTACAAAGACAAGTATAAAACACTGATAAAAGAAACTGAAGCACGAACACAAGTAAATGAAAAGATCTCCCATCCTCACAGATGGGAAGAGTATTGTTAATGTGCCCACATTACCCACACTGATGGGGACTGCTTTGAAACTGATCTCCCTATCAAAATGCCAATGACATTCTTCAACAGAAACAGAAAAAGCATTCTTAAAATTCATATGGAAATGTAAAATGTACTGGATAGCTAAAACAATCTTGAACAAAAATAACAGAATTGGAGGCATCACTTGATGAAATCACCTACCTGATTTCAAAATACACTACAAAGCTAGAGTAACCAAAATAGTATGTTACTGGCATAAAACAGATACATTAACCAAGAAAATAGAATAGAACCCTGAAGTAAATCCAAACATTGACAGCCAACTGACTTTCAACAATCATAACAAGAACACACCTTGGGGAAAGGACAGTCTCCTCAATAAATGATGCTGAAAAAAGTGGATATCCACATGGAGAAAAATGAAACTAGACCTACCAATCTCTCACCATATTCAAAAATCAACTCTAGGGCGGCACCTGTGGCTCAGTAAGTAGGGCGCTGGCCCCATTTACTAACAGTGGTGGGTTCAAACCCAGCCCCAGCCAAACTGCAACAAAAAAAATAGCCAGGTGTTTTGGCAGGTGCCTATAGTCCCAAGCTACTCAGGAGGCTGAGGCAAGAGAATCACCTAAAGCCCAAGAGCTAGAAGTTGCTGTGAGCTGTGATGCCACAGATCTCCATCGATGGTGACAAAATGAGACTCTGTCTCTTAAAAAAAAAAGAACTCTAATTGAATTAAAGATTTATAAAATATAAAAGCCAAAACCAGGCAACTATTAGAAGAAAACACAAAAGGAATGCTGTGTCATGAAATTGGACTTATTTTAGAATAAGACCCTGAAGCACAAGGAACAAATACAGAAATGGACAAACAAGATTATATCAAACTAAAAATCTTTTAAGAGATGACTCACAGAATAGGGGAAAGTATTTGCAGACTATATGTCTGACAAGAGGTTAAAATAAAGAATATATAAGGAACACAAACAACTCAACAGCAAAAAAAAAAAAAAGAAAACCTGATTAAAAAATGGGCAAAAGTGGCTAGGTATAGTAACTTATGCCTGTAATCCCAGCACTTAGAAGTCCAAGGTAGGAGGATGGCTTGTGACTTGAAAACAGGAGTCCAAGACCAGCCTGCACAACAGAACAGGCCTGAATCTTTACAGTTAATTAAACAACAACAAAATTAACTCAGACATAGAGACGCACAGTCCCAGCTACTTGAGAGACTAAGACAGGAAGATCCCTTGGCCCACAAGAAAAACAATCCAATTGATAGTCATACTTCACAGAATCTTTATAATACCCTCAGCATAATATCTTTAATGTCCATCTAATTTTCTCCTGTCACAATCTGAGCACATTCCCTCTTGTCCTATAGTGTGCTAATAAGAGAATAAGTACATCTATAATTATGGTCTTTGGCATCTGAAGATAGTTATCAAATCACTATCTTTTCCTTCTCAAGTTAAATAATCTAAATTCCTTTCCTTTTCCTTATACTTTCAATAATTTTGAAAGCTCAAATTCTTACATACATTAGGAAAATATTACATACTTTATAAGGATAATTATGAATATAGTTAAAATTCCAGCTATGTGTAAAAATTGCAATGTGACAGGTATAATTATAAATAATATATAAAGACCCACAAAAACTGTCATTGATATATTTCTAAACCGTGGGTCTTCTTCATTCTATTGCACAATAATCCTTACCGGGGGACTTTCCTTGTTGTGAGTTGCTTCGTCGCTCTCTGTATCTGGCTGGAGTGGATAAACCTGTATCTTTACTAGGCTTGCTAGCAGCAGGCCCAATTTCTGAAATGAGGAATCCCATCTGTTCTGAAGGCAAGATATTCTCAGGTGGATTGGTCTGGCATTTTATACTGGCATCCACCTAAAACATTAAGCCCACTCATTATTTTGATATTTCCCCAAAATAGCTACTAAAAGTTATTTCATCAAGGGAGTTGTATTATAGAAACACAATCTGACAAAGAAACTTGTAAAGCTTTTCATCCTTATGAATAATACTACCTTTGCTATTTTAATATTCAGTAGTAAAATGTACATTTCCCTATACACAAACCACTGAAAATGTATATGGAGCTAAAATATTTACTTATGATCAGGGGAAGATGTACCAAGAGCCTTTTTTTTTTT